TAACGGTGTCACCATGGCCCATGGGACTGTCCAGGGAAGAGGAGGATGCTGGTGGCTGGAAATGCTGTGGCAGAGGGTGCAACAGCCAAGTGGAAATTAAAAAATCTGCAGGGATATGCACTAAACCATTTTGCTGCTTTGAGGAGAACTCCCTTGGAATAAAAATGCTTATAACTCTACAAAAATACTGTAAATTAAGCTCTTATTTTTCTCATTTGTGCTACTTGCTGGTATATAATTTTCCTGTTTGTGCTGTGAATACAGACTATTCATTTTCCCTAAAACTATTTTCTTAGCTGATTTTGCTTTCAGGAGTTGGTGGGGGAGCAGAGCCTGGACATGACCACTGCACATGAGCTGCCAGCCCCTGGGACTTCTGCTTAGAGCCACCTGCACCAGGCTTTGACAATCCTGGAAATGTTCCTTCCACTGTTCCTTGCCATCACTGGCCCCTGGTTTGCTCCCAGGGTTTGTGTCTTGTTCCCCTCCCTGTAAGGTGGGAGATGTAAGCCTTGCTACCAGAGCTGAGATGATGCTGGGAAGCTCAAAATCATGGACCAAGCTCTCCGATTTACCATCCATAGCTCAAATCTCCCCTAAGCCCACACGATCAAGTAAGAGATCCCATTTTCCTGTGACCGTCTCAAAAAAATTTGTAATTTCAATGGTAAAACCACTTTGAGGATGGAGTTGGGGATTTTTTTATGAGCTATCCTATATAAGCAGAACTGGAACCCATTATACTGGAACCTATATTATACAAAATAATTTGAATCCTCTAACTTCTTTCTTCAGGCAATCAGCTTGTTTCTTTAATTCAAATTGGATCTTCATATTCAAGTCTCATTCTAGTTAATAATATTTTTCAATTAAATTCAATTGTCTGTGATCTCCCTAACTTCCAGTGCTTCCCTGCATCTCTAATATAGGCAAATTTTGCATTTGATCCTTTTACTTTCCTTTTTTTTTTCTTTTCTTTTTTTTTTTTTCCCAAGCTGGTAACATTTTGCTTAACAACACCAATTTCCAGCAATGGGATCAGAGCAGAGCCATGGCTTGGTCTGATTGTGTTTGCGTTGCCCATACACGAAGTGATGGCTCCCAAAACAACACTGCTGGGAGGTAAAGCATTTTTTTTACAGGCCACCTGTCTCTGCTTGATGTCAGGATGCTTGTGCTCCCCATGGTCAGGGATGAAACTCAGAGTCACAGGGCAACAAGCCTGGGACAGGCTCCTGCATTGGCAGGTGGAGGTGGAAATCCTTGTGGTTAGAGGTCAAGGAATGTCCCTCTGCTTTTTTAAGTATCCCTTCAAAACACAGCCTTTATGCATTTACCCCTTCCAAAGGGAGAAAATAAAGTGTTCCATGGAAAGCATGGTGTTAAACATGGTCTACAAGTACCTGGGAGAGCTCAGAGCAAGTCATACTGTTGCTTTCACATCTGATATTCAGTGCATTGCAGCTCAGCACTCCAGACACACTGCACAGCTCACTGCCCAATATTGGACCTAAACCCATCCCTCCTGCAAGCCTTGCACCAACTCTGAATTCCCATGAAGCCTCTGCAGTCAGACAGTACCTCCTGGTCAGGACTGGGAGACCTGGGCAAAACCAGGGCCATTCAACAGACAGGAGAAAAAAAGGAAGTGAAAAAAAAAAGAGCTGACAAAAGGAAGGAGAAATTTTAGGACAGTTTTGTGCACAACTGTGAAGCACCCAGGGAGAAGAACCACCTTGGTGGTGAAGCTGACAGTCATCAAGAAAACTGTTGGCTGTGGGCAGACTTCAGACAACACTTGGTAAAGAGGACACAGAAGAGAAAATCACAGAATGGTTTGGGTTGGATGGGACTTTAAAAGACCATCTTGTTCCAACCCCCCTGCCATGGGCAGGGACACCTTCCACCAGACCAGTTGGCTCAGAGCCCCATCCATCCTGGCCTTGAACACTTCCAGTGATGGAGCATCTACAGCTTCCCCAGGCAATCTGTTGAAGTGCCTCAACACCCTCATAGTAAAGAATTTTTTCCTAATATCTAATCTACCCCTAAACCTACCCCATTTCAGGATAAAGGCAGGAAAGCCACAGCAGCCCAAGGATAAACCTCTGCACACGGAGGTGTATTATCAGCTGCATTTTTACCTGGCCAGTTCTCTGACACAAGGGTGCAAAACACAGCTGGCAGCACCCTGTCCTGCCCAGTAGCACAAGACCAGGCATCTGCAGGGAAAAGGCTCCTGTGGGGTTTACTCAGTTATTGCATTAGGGGGTGTTTTGCTGCTTTCATGCTATAGCAATGTCTGGCTGTTTCACCATCAGTGTCATCATGATGCTTTCAGTGCTTCAGGAAAGGTTACAGGAACCAGAGGACCAGAGATCAGGTGAGAAATTCAGTTTCCACCGCCTTTTTTAAATACTAATCAAATACTAATAAGTGCTGGTTATGGTAAAAAAGCCAGAAACAGCCCCCAAGTGTATTTTGAAGACAGAAAGACCAGCAGGCAAAAAAAAAAGGCTCCCAGTTTTATTATTTTGTATAATCAGACTATAATTGGAGAGCAGACACTGTCTGTAGCACACTGCCATTGGGGACTCTGATTTTCTAATAAGAAATCCATGAGGGAATTAGACACTGTTTCAGTGGTGTTCTGGCTGGTTTAAGGGATGCACCTGGAGCCAGAATTCATGCCTTCAGTTGCTGTACTTCACCAAAAGCAAAAAATGTAGGTGCCACTTGTAAATCCCTGCAAAAAATGGGTCTGCAGTGGCAAGAGTGAGAGCCCCTTAATTATAGCAGTGCTTTTGGGAGCTGTGATAATTAGGAGTTTCCGGTGTTCTGGAAATCAAAGTGGTTTCTATTCTCTTATTTAATTAATCCAGGCTTTTATCTGTGAAAGTGGAGATGAATTAAGGTTCTGCTCTAGGCAAAGGGCAATGATGCTTGTGCAGTCCCTGGCAGGGTGAAGCCACTGGACCCCCAGGACCTGGGTGACATCCCTCACACTGCAGCATCCCTGGCCTCCAGGTCTTGATATTTTGGGGGATGAAGAGGAAAGACCAGAGGGCGACATGCCTCGAGCAGGACTCACCACAGCATGCACATATCACAGAGCCCTGCTGCACAGGGGTGTGCAGCCGTGTATCCATGGCAGGGGACACACTGCCTGCCTGCAGGAATTCAGCAGATAACAGACACCCAGCATTTATCACCTCCCCACATGGGAAAGGGTGAGTCAAGCTGCACAAAAATCGCAGGATTGGTAAAAAATTGTGATTTTTTTATTATTATTTATTTATTATTTGGGGGATTTTTTTCTGTTCAAAGGAAATTATTGTTATAGGCCCCTTTTATTCCACCCTGGGAAGGGTTGATTTTGGGAGGTTTTCTAAGGGCTGAGAAATCACACTGAAAATCCATGTGACTCTTAGAAGATGACAACAGCAGTATGGGATTTGTGGTAAAACCATTCAATATGCCTCCATGATGTGAACTGTACATGCACGGATGGCAGAGAGAGGTTTCCAGCTGTAAGTAAAGCCTCCAGCTGATGGGATGACCTCAGTGCTCAAAGCAGGAGCATCTGTCACCCACCAGAGCAGAAGGCAGCTTAATGCAATTAACCCATACAGCTAATTAATCAAATCCAGCCCCGACAATGTTATCAAGGAGCTGCCTGGAAATGATTCTTTATGTCAAAGTCTATTTTTAGATCAAATAAATCCAGACCCATCCTGGGCAAGATCTGTTCCAGTTTGAGGCATCTCCACAGTTCATCATTTCCTGGCAGTGAATTCTGCTGCAAGTACCCAAACCACGGGCTCAGCCCTAGAGCTGTGTCCCAGAGCAGCTTTGTGTTCGATTAAACAGTTTTCCCAGAGGTAAACTGAATTTCTACATCCACCTTCCTTAACTTTCGGTCTGTTTTCTCCTTCTCCTACTAGATGGCGCCTGCATGACAGGCGGAGACGAACGAGCCCCGGCGGGGAGCATCTCTACCAGGTCTCCTCCGTGAAGGGCCGATAAATGACACTTTTCCCCGAAAAGCCAGGCAGTTGAGAAGGCGATAACCTGCCGGGAGCTGATTAGAAGCAGGAAGCTGTTTTCTGGTCGGGCCGAGTTAACTGTGCTTCTCCAGGGGATGCTGCCAGAGCCCCGGGAGGGAGTGGGATAATGGGGATCCATCCAGAAGCTGTATCCAGCCTAGCCCAGGTGTGCACAAACCCTGTATGGACACTTGCAGCCCAGACATCCTGCTGAGCACCCTGGTGAGCACGGCTGTGGCAAGGCAGTGGCAAGGAGGATGCTAGGGCTGGCAGGGATGCGCAGTCACCCACACTCGGCCACAGCTCACCTCAAAAGCCCGGTCAGAAAATCCGGCATTTCATTGGCATTTCCGGGTCACCAGGAGGAGACATGCAACCGATGGGTGATTGGGGTGGCTACAGACAGCCACCATTGCCCCCACACAGCTCTCAGGTGGGAGAAGGGCTTTGGGAGTACAGCCCATCCCTCCCCACCTGGCATACCCTGGGAGGGACACAGCAGTGCTTTGCCATGCCAGAAAACTGTCCCCAGGCTGCTTCCCTCTGCCTGCTCCCTCCTGGCAGTTCCATGAGGATTCAGCCAGAGCTGCAGGTATCAGCATCACTCCCAGTCCTTCTGGGTAACCCCAGCAAGGTGGAGTGACAGCATGATCTACCACTTCTTCACCCAACAAAAGCACTGTGTGCCCAGCTCTGACTCCACAGAGCCATCACAGCTCCCCACATCCCACTTTTGCAGTCCCCAGCTCATTCCCCGACACGAGCTCTGTGTTTCACAACCGTGCCAAACTAACTCCTGGCCTCTGCTCGCTGGCAATAATTAACCACATGTTATCTCCACACTCCACCTCTGTTGTACTTGTGTATTGTACATGATCCAGCCTCTCGGCTCCTTTCTGAGCTTGGCATTTTCAGCAGCCTCGGGCCATGTGCCAGTCCAGAGCAGACAGAACCCCGTTGTGCTAATAACCCAATTTCCCAAACCAAACGGTACCACCGAGCCCCAAGAAAGGAGATTCCAGCCCGAAACACAGCTTTGGACAGCCAGAGGAAGAGCTACGTTTACTGACTGCCCCACCAAATAGGTTTGGTTTTCCAGTGGTAAGTTTGCATTTACTCCCCCTGGATTCCAGGGGGAAGCTGAGCCATTCCCTTGCCGTGACATTGCAAGTGGCAGGGTGAGGTGGTGTCCCCAAACTCTGCTTTTCTCACAGCATCTGCTCAGGTGCAGCCACTGCTGCCCAGCACTTCTGCATCCCCAGTGTCCTCTGGGTGCCCAGCAGCACTTGGGTTGGCACATGAGGAACCCGAGGGAGCTGGCAAGGGAGAAGGGGCACAGGGAGGCTCAGGGACCACTGCTTTTGTGTCTTGTACAGTAAAGCCTGAGCACGCCCTGGGTCGCCCCCCTTCTTGACTGGGTGTGGGGCAGGAGCTGAGCTGGCCTGCTGCACCCCTCCACACTGTCACTGTAGATAGCTCCAGCCCCCCCAAATCAGTGTGGGAGCTGGGGACTCCCCGTGGCCCCCTGGACGGGCAGCCAGGAGCTGTCGAGGTTCATCTGCTCACCCGTGCCACGCTGTGCCAGCACACGGGCACTGGAGGAGCCTGGCAGCCCCAGCCCTGAGCAGATCCAAGGCAACTCCCTGTCCCCATGGAGGGGAAGGACAGGGAGGAGGGGGTGCAGGTGGCATCACGGCTGAGGGGACAGCAGGACACAGCCAGCTGGCACAGGGACACAGATGGTGCTGCCAGAGAGCTGCAGCTCTGACCAGTGAGTGATGGGCCAGGAAAGAGGATTGCTGGGAGAAGAACAGTCTAGATGACACAGAGAAAAGCCCTTGCTCAGGACCAGCAAGAAAAAAGGGGGAAAAAACCCAGAAATACACCCAGAAATACTGGCCAAGTTCTGCATAATCTTGGCACATTGGGTAGAAGGGAAATTAAGCCAACTTGCAAGCCCACATCGGATCTCTCATCAAAAACATGGTTCCCAAGTGAATATTTTGAGCAACCAATAAAGCCAGTCAAGGTCTGGGAGCCGGGGAGGCCTTAGCTGAGATGGCTGCAGAAAAAATGGAGCTGCAGGACTCAACCTGTCCAGCAAACAAGTGACCTGCACAGGGCTAGCCACAGGTTTGAGAAGAGAAGAACAGGTATAAAATTAGTGTTCATTCCGAGACACTTCTCTGTGACATAAAGATGAAAAGCAGAGGGTGTTTCAGTGAAAAGTTTGTTAATTTATAAAAAAGGAATCTAAAAAAGGAGAAGTAGATTTCAGTGCTTCCCAAGGGCTGATCATTACTCACAGAAGTGATCATACTGCCATGGCAGTAGCCTTGCCCCATGAAGGGAAACAGGTACAGGGAGAAACCCTGAGCAGAGACCTGAGAGAGCAAAGAGGAATCTGTAAGATGAATTGAAATGACCAAGGCAAACAAGGCAATGACTATGGATTCTGTAAACAAATTTAAAAGCAAATTTTGTCCTTTACACAATGTGGGAGAGCAGGTAACAAGATACAGCAGGTGCAGGAGAGTTCAATGATTTCTGTCCTTCAGTCTCCACAAAGAGCTGATCATGGCACATAAATTATCACCATGATAGGCATGAGGAGGCAGGGGCCACTACAGGCAAGAAGGGGCTAAGGAGTAATCTCATTCTTCCATACGCATTTAGTCACAGATGGCCTGTGCAGAGGTGTGATGAAGTACAGCTATCCCAATGATCCTCCTTCTCCTAACCATGCCAATAGGCTTTCACACCTCTCCAGTATTTTCTACTACCCTGGGAGCTCACAGCATCTCAAAGTTTGCAGCTTGAATATCCCAAACCTCTGGAGCTCTCTCTTATCCAGTATCCAGCCACTGGGAGTCACCAGCGGGAACTTTCCCCAGCAATCCCACATCTTTGCTGAAGCCTCCCCATTTCTGCAGCTGTCTGCATCTCCCACCCCACGGATGTGAGAGGTGGCGAGTACTCTTGCAAGCTGGGACAGTCCTGGCTGGCATCTGGGCCTGTTTGCAGACAGCAGACTGGAGAGGGGGGACATCTGCATAGGGCAGCAGTGAGAATGGGCTGAGATAGTTAAAATCACAGCCTGCCCGGGAGAGAGGAAAAAAGTAGGGCTTGTTTCATCCCAGGAAGACACATCCCATGTGCAAGGACAGAGGGTTGGCAGTTGGCAAAGTTTAGGAAAACCCTCCTGTCGGCAGAGAGACTTAAGGCTGGGTTCAGAGGGGCTTCAAACACACCCTGCAACCCCCTCCCCACGGTTCGGGAGCAGATGAGACGATCCCTCCAGGTGCCTTCCCTCCGTGCTCCTCTACTGAGTGAGCAAACCAAAGCTCCGGAGGGATTTGTTTCCAAGTCCCAGTGTGTTTGCCCCAGTGCTTTTGCCTGGAGGCTCCCTTCGGTGCCAGCTCCCGGCAGCTTTGGGAGCATGCTGCCTGCGGTCCATGGCTGCGGGGCCGTGAGGCAGTGCTGGGGTGTTTGCAGCCGGACAGCTCTTTCCCAGCCTGGGGGAAAAAAGAACCATTATCTGCTCCACGCCTCACGACGCCGCTTTCCAGAACAAGTGCACGGCCCCTGATAGCAGGGGCAGAGGCGCAACAAGCCGCACCCGCCCATTAAAATGAGACACCGGCTGGCTCTGAGATGCGTTTATAAATAGAGAATTAAGGTCTGCCTTCGACTCCCGTCTGTAATGGACACCGCGGGCCGGGTGCCCCGGCAGCGATGCCCTCCTGCCCGCGCGTGTTTAACCTGGGCACGGCGGTGACGCCCGGGCAGCACCGCGGGGACGGGGCTGGGGGTCCCACGGCCCCCTCACCCTGAGCCGGGCCGGGCCGGGCCGGGCCGAGCCGAGCCGAGC